GTGGCTTGCATGATGGACGAAATCTCAATGGAATACGAAGAACTTTCCATTGTTCGCACTGTTCTACATATTCCTGCAGTGCTCATTTCAAGAAGTAAAGTTCGGTTAGTGTTGTCCATTAGCGGCGAGTTTTCGAGGGTTTTCAAACCTATGTACAGTAGGGAGTCCATGTGACCTGATGTGGCCAACTGTGGGAAGGATTATTGCTATTTTCCAACTATTCAACGTGTACTTGATTCAAACTCGCCTAAGGTAGATTGGATGACCCACAGGACCAACGCTCTCTACTTGTAGTAATGATTATACAGCTTTCTTGTTGGAAATGAATACGTATGTAAATCGATTTTACTTTGATAATCTAGCCGATAAACGGTTTTTGACATTAAGCGCTATTAACTTGTTAACTACAATGAACGCTTTCTGAAATTTCTTGCTTAGGAAGGACCTTTTCTTTGAGATTTCCTCCTTGCATCCCATTTTTTAAAATAGGAGGTTCTCCTTTTTTTTTCGTCTTATGTCAAACAACTGCTCTTGGCCCGTGTGGTGCGGAGGTTGGAAGCGCTCTGCAACACACACGTGGAATCGGTCCACGCGCCCATGGCCCATCAACTACAATGAACGCTTTCTCTCTTGGACGACATCAGCACTGGCTCTATACATCCGTAGGCCACCACGAGTCATTGAAAGAGCCAGATATGCATTCAGTCACCTCCAAACGATGCTCAATGAAGTTGATTGCATGCCGCATCCCCCAGGGATTGATCAACGCCGAGAGCTTTATCTTTTTCTTTTACTACCCGTCTTCACGTCCAATGTGGGGATCTCTGCGTTTCCCACATTCGAGTCGTTTTCTCGCCTCCATCGTCCACGAAGGTCTTCCAATTTTTACGTGTAGCTTCCGTTGCTGATTTAGGATTTTAATTTCATCTTGAATGTCACACAATACTAGTCGAGAGAGGATGATTCTCTCTCTGAGATAGCCGGGCTGGAGCATTCTCAGTTGGTTCGCAGAGCGTGATTTTTTCCTGGACAAGTCCAGTACCGATCCCCCAATATGGCAGGAATGAGAGGCTTGATGAACCTGAGGCAGCGTCGAACCAGCATCGTCGTCACAATGATCAGCATCACTACCACTGTGCTATCCCCCATATTCCGCATTCGAAATTAAGTTGAAGAAACCGGAAGTCATTTAGTGCTGTGTAAAAAAGTTCTTTGTGTGACGGCTAAAAACTGTACATTATCATTGAAATGGGTTGTTCTTATTGTTTTAGTCGCGTCGCATGCTTTTCTTATTTGAGTATTTTCAAAAGTCTCTAATTAGAGTTTATAAACATATCAACCAGAAATAAATTCTCTGCGTAAAAACCTGCGTTTTTTACAGAGTTTCTGCAACTCGCCAATTCCTCCACCAGCCGTTCAATAACATAACATGCATTAATTGAAATGACAAATGTTAAACATTACAGATTCCTTCGACTACTACCGTATTGATCGTGTCGAGCAGGTAAAGGGAATAGCTAGGGATATCTAATGGCTTAAGGATACTGAGAGAAATCCGGATTTGAATTGCACGTCGCACGATCTGACACCGAACAGCGCGAGCCGTTTATTACCCGGACGTTTTCCTTTCAACGTTCCAACTCGGTTTTTCACTACGTTTTTTCGAAGACAATGCCCATACAGTTCGAATTCATTTTTTACGCGACCTATTGCTTGACCTGGATAGTCGTTTGAAGTCAGCTGAAAGGACGACCGAGATTTTTTCCTTTTTTCTCCTCGTCCGTCCTCCGAAAATCGCTAAAAAAGGGACGCTGGGCCAGGTACGACCGCTCTCACGTCATCCGTCGGCGGCGGCGGCGTTAGGTGGTACCATTGCGGAAAAAAACATCGCCCAAGAAAAAACCGCAAAAACGCCAATAACTGATATTTTTCTACGAGACTACATAGATCGCTAGTTTGAAAAGAAACATAAGAAGAGTAGAGAACGATGATGAATCTGCACTTTGGCGTAAAATTTCAAATCACGACACGGAATGAATTCGAAAAGCAAGGAAAAACTTTTGAAAGCGACACCTCGCAGATTGATGGCGAACCATCGGAAGAGAAGATTCAGCGAAGATGAATTTCAAAACGATCGCTAACAAACCTTTCTAAAGTTCTTTCATTGTTCATAAATACTGAGAGCATAATGTTCGGCTGCATGAATTTGTAAAAAAGTTTGTAATTCCGTCAATAAAGTGATACATTCTGTTAATTCAATCAGTTCAGCTTTTGTAACCCAATAAAGTTTGTGATTTGTAGTTCATTGATAAGTGGTTAACCATTACACCATGTGGTTTAATATATAGTGTCCAGTATGCATTGGGCTCAATGCGTTGGGTGCGAAAAAAGACTGGCTTAAATTTATAAATTTGAAACTAACTTATCTCAGTATTTTAACTTTTATTCACTAGCTATTCTTTTTTCATAGAAAAGTATAATGAATAACAAAGCAAAGAAGATATGAGCGGAGCAGCCGTATCTCGGCATCCTTGTGCTTGCATTCATAACCCCATCTCAACATGCAGCACTGGATTTCTGCAGGTATTTGCCTACAAAGTGCAAACATTCCTATTCTACCAAGTTGAAAATCTGATTTCATAGATCCTAGGATTATCCTTATCCCTTCTATATTCTTTTTTGGGTTAACGTTCGTATTTAGAAGGCTAAAGCAAATGAACATGTGAGGTTTTGTAAAGTAAATAGAAACAGTGCTATTCTCTAACTTACAATTTATTTCTGCAGCAGCTGCATTTGTCGTGGAATTTTTAAAAGCCCGAGCACACCTTTTTATTCTTTTGGAAATCCTAGCTCTGATCATACATAAAATTAAAACGGTGCTATTTAGAAAACATTTATACATTTAAGATAAGCTTTAAGTCTCCTCTCCAAATGCGTGTAGCTCACAACTCTTCAAATCTCCAGCTGTTGACAAAATATCGTGAGCTCTCAAAAGAAAACGTGCTTTGGGACTCTAGTGCTTAATTTGCTAAGCAAGAGTGATTTGTTTTAAATATCAGTAAGAAAGAATTAATAAGTTTATATCTTTACTTCTACTTTTAAAGTCCTGGATGTAGTTAACTTTCTTTTACTTCCACATTGACAGAGATCGAGACAAACATTCATTTATAGAGAGGAAGTGCCGAAGTGCTACCCATTTCCTGATTCCCATATAATGGAACGCATGCCTGCAATATGTTCGAGGCCTTATAACACGAATCTCTCTTAGTTTGTGAGAAACAAACGAAAATGGTTTTTTCATAGACTTTGACAATGGTCGCCCTCGAAATTGGGCTTCTCTCCACTCTGTTTTCTCTGAAAGGAAGCGGTCGATTTGAAAACGAACCTGGATTCGAGTAACCGGTCCTGATTTATCGTAAAAGTCTAAATTGTCGCAGATCCGTTTTTTCCTTCGGCTTCAGGAAAACATGGAATTGAACGAATAGGATTTTTTAGCATGTTTTTGACAATAAAAGTGCACTCGAATTCATAGAACGAAAACCGGTCTGGTTTGACCCAGCTTAGATAGTTGCTGCTTTGTCAGCTCTACATAAGACCTTCGTACTAAGTATAAATTTGTTTCTTATCGAAAGCGTAAGGTCCAGTCTGAATTAGCTTTTTTATTCAAAATTCTAAACGTGCAGAAATTATAGGATGAAAGTAGAAGGGCTATTAATTGGTGTACAATGTATCCTTTGATTCAGCGAATCCTCGCTTGTCTGCGATTCCTATTCGCTTGCCCTTCTTTCATCGATGAGTTGACAGAATGTTGATATAATACTTTCTTCGGCTGAAATTTCGGCTTCGTCCTCTTCTTCATGGCCGGAATGAATGTAGTGGATTGTCCACACAAGTCCGTCCGTGAAATCTGGATCTTCACGGTTGTTTTCATATGTCTTCAGATGCCAAGCAATGTAAAGGTAAATCAGGCGACCAGATAGTGGGAGTCCTGTTTTGTTTATTTTTTCCCATACACATAATTATAGCAATAAGTAGGTTTCTAAGATGTCTACGTTAAGGATTTAGGACTACTCCAGAAGTAACCACTAAACTTACCGTGAGCTCGTGGGCTCGTGGCGTATGACAGAAATGGATGGATATTGGTGCGTTTTCAAGTCATTCGATAATTTACGGGATTACTGGTAGCTCAGGTAATCTTGCTTTCTATATAAATCGGTGCTAAGGAACAGCTTGCTCGTGGAAAAATTATTCTACTTATTAGTACCAGTTCTTGACGGTCGTCAGCCGCTCTTTCATCGTAAAACGATATGCTAGGCGTGACATGGCCATTAGATGTTCCTCTTTTAAGGGTCTGACTCGAAATGTGGACCTACAAACTACGCGATCGTCCTCGCTTAGTGTTTATTTTCTCTGCACACGACATTCATATAGGCACGACTCTTTCAAACCCCTATAAGCTAAAAATATGCATTTAAAATTCTCTGTAAGCTTTCCCGAAACAGAAAAAAGTTGAAAGTTCATGCCGAGTTTCGCTCATTCTGAATTAACAAAATGTTTGAATGGAGTAGAAGAATTCTTGTCAACGGGTAATATATAGGTGTGTTCATTCAGCAGCACTTCAGGAAGGAGGATTGTTGGACACGTCCCAGCTTCGATTACTGATTTTTTCATTACTTTTCAAGCGCAGCGCACTGGAACAGTGAGCGGACGGCTCCATTCAAGGCGATTGAACAAAACAAGCCTTTCCAATATTTTCATATTAGTTTAACATCAGCTAGCCATCAATAACATTATCAATTATTGAAAACGGTTAAGCTTGAACAAAAATTTCAGCCGGAAAGTCGATTTCTCGATTGTTTCAACCGAACGCTGAATGAGGAGATTTAATGTGTTTTTCTTAAGATGTTCGTGAATGCTCTAACAATATTATTAAATGTCTATAATGATGTTTCAGAAACACCTAGTACCACTGCCAACTTTTATGTGTACCTTTTCGGGTGATGCTCAGCACCATATCTATCATTAGACCTCATGTTCGGGTTGAGCGACGAGTGTGGGTGACGAGACGGATTCGGGTGCTTAGGCGCTTGAAGGAACCGCGGCCCCTTCGCGTACCACCCGGACCGCTCTGTTCGAAACCCCGTACACTGACCCACGCCCAACCCGTGCTAGGCACCAACCACCCGTTTCATCTCTCCACCGTATTGCTCGCACTCTTTGCCGGCGATTTGTGTCATCTCTCCGACGGGCTGCGCTCTGTAGACGCGACATTGTCGTATGTCTCTGCTCGAACCCTCGCTCTATATGAAGCCCGTCTGTCACAGCACTCCATCCAGATGCGTACATCCTCAACGCTTCAACGTCGCGAGTCTCCAGATTGTCGCCGACTCTCCACCTCGCTCACCGTCCTTTCCTCTGCAGTCGTGTGCTGACTAAACGAATTTTACGCAACCTGCTCGCAATTGGCATGCTCTCTGCAGCTGGTTGGTGGTTAGTTGGTCAGTCGACGACTCGCATGTTCGGCCACCATAGCATCGCTTTCTGCTGGCTGTTCACCACCATTGTAAAAGCTCCTAAAATACCAACTGGACCCATCTGAACACTCATCATGGTGCCTTTTGTATTCTGCTGAGTCTTTTTCTCTATCAATCTTTCAATTGTTTTTGATGCGATTTCTATTCCACAAATGTTGTGACACGGCTTACACTAACCACAACGATAACATTGTCGACGCCTCGCAATCGTCTTAAGGATATTTCCAATCAATTTTTTTCACTGCAACCTTCCTTTTTGAATTTATAGCATATAATTCCCATTTATTACATTGTTAATTAAGGGCTTACGACTGACTCCGTTAGGTCGAAATACCATAATCGAAGTTGATGCCTCCAATTTAAGTTCACACTCACTAAGAAGTCATAGCTCTCGATGTTTTCCTTTCAGTACCGGTGGCCATGAAAAACCTAGTGGTATTTAGTTTTTTACGAAATAGGACTAGGATAGCGCAGTACATGGCTAAGATACTGCTTCGAAAAGACGCGCAACAGAATTGAAACCAGCACGGAATTAGAAATAAAATGTAAATATGTAATCTACATTTTTGTGGTTGCTTTTTTACTACTGGCTTGGTGATTCTCCGTACTTCGACCGTACAGTGGGGATTGGTAGATCTTATCAACTTATGCGTAGATCCTACTTACATTTAGAAGTTATCGCCTATGAAAATCGCAACACTAGTGAATTCAAAGCCAGCTGGTTGTTCAGCTTGTTTCTTATTCTGTGAGGCAACTCAGCCATACCGCTCTTTGGTAAATCTCTGTCCTTCTTTCACTCAATGACAGTTCGTCCTCATCTAATTCTTACAATCCTATCCTACCATTTCAAACCTGTTTTCGATCATTTTTACAGCACAGTACAAGCCAGTAGTTCGCATTCGGAACTGAATGGCTACGACTTATTTGCTTTAATATATGCATAAATCGACCTCATACAATAGGTGCTTGCATTTGTCGTTTATCAGTCGCTGCTTATGCTGGTATTCAAGCAAAGCTATTTCTCCACAGCTGCTGCATGAACTACAAATTCCTCTCTTTCGTTCTCTCTATGTCTTGACCGTTCTTCTTTCTTTTTTAAAATTTGCTTTCTACTCATATGTCTCTGCACGGCATATTTATTTGGTGACTTAAGCAATTTAGAAGAAAATTCTGAATATAGTACTAAAGAAGGACTTTCAGTAATTTTACTCGCCGCTTCCGATGACATTTTCAGCCACAGATCAGCTATGCCATGAAGTAGAAGCGGCTTCGAAACAGGATCTAGGAAACACTATCGAATTGGTGTAGTTATTTTTCTTTCAAAACCTGGCGAAGGAAACTTTCCTCTACTTTTAACGGTTTTCTTAAAGATCTTTCAATTGATAGAGCATGTCGTCTTTCCAAAGAAGGAAGAGAGAGCATTTAGTGGGTGGCATTTATTACTATTTGCAGTTACACGCTCTCTTGAATAAGTTCACATAATTGAAAAGTTGTTAAGAGATTCATTTCATCATCGATAAAATTGGAAGGGATTCCTTCAGTTAACGTTTCTCAGGTTTAACTCAAGAGGAATTCAGTGCCTTCTTGATGAGCGAACACGAGGCTGCTAACGACAAGATTTATTCAGTACAGTAATAGTTGACCTTTCGGCGGTTTCGACTTTTTCAGAGCTTCTTTATTTAGACCGTTGGCCAGAATAGTACTTAATGAATCTGGTTGTTATCAATACCATGTCTAGCTTTGTAGAAATGCTTATCTGGACTTGGACTATACGTTGATTGTAATTGCCTACCGATGCACCCGTGTTTTTACCCTTCGGAGCTTTATCGTCCCAGAAAGTCCGATGCCGAATTGTTGACACCGACAGAACGAGGGCTGGCTTGATTCTACCGAAGTGCGGAATTGAACCTACGGCTCCCCTATTTATCATTATTTATTGCAGCACACCTTTAACAACTACGCTACATGTGCCTCGTAATTGCGGTATAAATATATATTATTGCCATAGGATTTTGTAAAAGCAGACACTGTGATCATTAGTTCATCATGAAAATTTTCATTCAATTGAATAGAAAGAATTATGCATTAACACAGGTTTGTTCCGGGTGCACAACTAAATTTTGTGTGATTCCAGACAAGACGACATTCTCGGCTTGATGGTCATTCTTTGTCACCTCCCCACACGTCATCAGATTCTATGGAACAAGATGAAGAAACATCTGAAAATCGGCATTTGTTCACGGTTGTGATCACTATACCGGAGGGAAATATTCTCGACTCTAGGATCGTATCCGACACTGTTTCAGCTACGGTATGTTATTCCTGTTTGGACAACTATCATTAACTATCCAATTGCAAATGTGTTCTTCATGATTTTGAAACGGTCTGCCACACTGGGACAATTAATGTGCAAGCGATTGGAACTAGATTTATTCCTTAGGATGGAATGAATGACAGTAGCGGATCTAACGTTTCATAAACACATGGACATTCCATCTTTATGAGATAATTTCCATCACCGACCCTTCCTCCTAGTTGTTCATTCTAGTTTCGAAAGTTCACGTTGTTCAAGCAATTTACTTGAACTAACGAATTTCAAATGTACTACTTCCAAAGTAAGAATGAAGAACTTCTGTATTGCAGGTGCTAGAACCCGGCAATCGCTTCTTCTGTTGTCTTCCGGGTAAAGGTCAATCCATCGTGCTCTCCGCTGCTGCAAGCACAACTCGGCAAAGGATTTTTGCTCGAGTAAACTGGTAAGTCATAGTGATTCTTTTTGTTATTGAACGTTCTTAAGTCATGTGCACTAAAGACGTATTCACGGAGTTTGTTGAACCAGAACTACTACGACTAGGAACATTCGACTATGAGAGTACAGAGAACGTGGGAATGGGTGTTGAGTATGCGATCGGCAGATGTCGGAGGGGCGATGACGGACGGTGTCGGCAATGTTGCGGAGCAGACAACGATAGTGTAAACGAGAGTGCGTAGTCGGCGAGTGAACAAGCGCTGTCAGAACGGTCACCGGAGGAGCTGAGGAACGAGGTGAAATACTCGCTGAGAAAAACATCGCTGGACTAACCGTCCATCCGTCCACATGTTCTCGATAAACGTGTTACTCCCCCGTCGTACAAAGATACTGTAGAAAAGGCTGGCTGGTATACTCGGTAAATGGTGACGGGATGCTCGTTTTCACCTTCCAGCCCAAATATCCTATGTCTGCTATTGCTGGTACGTGAAGGTGGGCGTGTCGACTCCACTCAGTGGTCACTCAGTGGCACGAGCTGTGCTGCCTTGTAATGAGAGGGAAAATTGAACACACACACGCGTGTCCCATGATACCACTGACCACGACGAGATGTCGGAGCGATTATGTTCTACGATCCTATTAGACCATCATAGAGAAGTGAGGAGAAAGTAAATTAAGAACGGTCTACCTTTTTCTAGGTACTATCCAGCCTTCCTCGCTAACACTAACACCGTCTGTCGGCATTCCACTGTAGAAAATAAATAAATCGTTCGTAATCTGAGATAGGAGTGTTTTCAGCCCATTTCTAGTATAAAATTTCAGCGGCAAGACGAATCATGCATGTGAATTACTTTGTGAGTTCGAATCAAAACGAGCCCGAATCACGGCTCTCAGCCTTCGGGCTGCTTATGGACCATCTGCACCTTTTCACAGCCTGATATTCACAACAAAACATGCAGCCAGTTGTGCCCTCACGCACATAGATTATACGTGAGTCTTACTCTTACCACACCACTAAATTGACTTGAGACTCAGTGCAAATTTTCCCATTCCTCGCGAAAGTTTCTAAACTGCTTATGAGCTGTATCAGTCACTTTGGTGTGCAATTTGGTTTCGATATGTCATTATGCAAATGGCATGTTCTCTGGGGATTCGTTGACGATTAGACTTCAGCGCACGCTGCTAGAACTGCGATGACTGAACGTCATTACCAGTAGCGACGAAGCTAGACACAGTACTGTAAAGTGGGAAGCCTTGCCACTAGGACTAGCAATTAGTATTTGGCGACGTCAATGATCGAAAAGTGGGATTCTGAGGATTAGGATCAACACTATTGCCAGTTCCAAAAAATCATTCCGAAGATAGGGGTTGCATGCTCTGGAGTTTTAACAGAGTGGAAATTTCAAAATCTCTTGTGCAACTAACTTAGATAGTGGGTTATTTATGTGGAGTGGGTTACGGTAGCAAGCCAATACACAATACTTTGTCCTTGATAATGGCGCCATTTATCGAAATTAGGATGTGATAGACTCCAATGGTTAGAATTTCTTTCTAAGTCATGAGTGTGCGAGTCTCTATGCAACTAACGGTCAATTTTTTGTTCAAGAAAATTTATAGCTGTAATCTGAAGGGCACTATACACCTCTACGAATTTTTCATATCCATTATTTTTGTTCCATAAATTCCCAAGATCTTAGGGATATTATTCTTGCTTTAGGTCGATTCCTTACCTAGGGCACCTGCCAACAGATTTGATCGGTCGTTCAATCCTCGCGTTCGTATACGCCCCGGACGTGCACATCATCCGACAGGCGCACATCGACTGTAGGTTCTAACAATGTCTATGATATTATAATCGTCGTTTACCTAATATTATGGAATTCTTACTCTAGAAGTTTAATTCAACCCAAAAATTTTAGTACATAATTCTCGAGGAAGAGTGGTGAGAAACGTGGCACCATTACGATTTGTTGCGCACAACGGTGCCCTATTACGAACCGATACTGAGTGGTCGGCTTATGTGAATCCATGGACGAGAAAGATTGACATGGTTGTCGCTCGTCATCGTATTCTAGACGCACCAATTGGAGGTATGTTGGTAGCCCTGATAAGTGTTAAAAATGACAGAGTGATAAAAAATTACTGCAAATGTATTTATAGACGCAAACGTCTTGGATTCGCCAGCAAAAGACCATTCACTGCACGTATTACCACCAGCCATGGCCAAGACATTCGAAGACGAACTGCGGACTTTGATGAACAAGGTAGGTCTAATTTTCCTTATTGCCTCATTTTCCTTGTGTTTTCCAACTGATCTCACTTTTTTTGGTGTATTTCTTTAAACAAACTCGTACTTTGTATTGGAAGGCTTTCTAATACTAGATTTTGCCATTTTCTAGGCTTGCTTCTTAAGAGCAGGCGCCATTATAATTCTCTGGCTCTCCAACTTTTCCGCATTTAAACTATTAGAACGTATTAGATACAAATTCTATAGTGCTATAGTTTAATCAAACATCTCGTTTTCTACGACAATCGTCGTTCTGGAGCAGGTTCTGTAGTTGCGCGGTGCAAGTACACCAAGTACGCGCGTGCCAGCTAGCGCCGCTCGCTATCAGCTGTTCGGGTGTTCGCACCAGTCGGCGACAATGATGTCGCGCCAGTCGCCAACATTTGACGCACCCAGATACGGAGTGGACGACAATCGTCACATCTGGACCACCTTAAGGACAAAATTGCGGCAGAGTCTGCTGGTTGGTTACAAGGGGTGCGCAGTATGGCTATTAAGGTGGCCACTGAACAGTGTCTACCAAAAAAGCTTTATTTTCCAAATGTGTTCTCATAGTTCGTATGACGCAAACAAAACAACACCTGGACTTCTATTTCCAAAATAACCTTCTTTCATTTAACTTCGAGATAAATGATTAATATTCCCTCAGATGATTAAGTTAACACGCAGTTGCTATAATCTTTTCTCCAGAAAAATTTCGGACCTCTATCCTGCACACCGTAGAAGTGAAACATTTATGATTAGATCTATGATCTATGAGCAGGGCCAAAACTATTTCTGCAGTATCAGCTGTGTGAAGTTCCATAGCAAGTTTTTCTGCTTGCTATGAACCCATAAAATACCGAAATATTTTTCTCCATCGTGTCATCGCACATTCGCGTAAACTCGCATATAAATACCACTTGGGCTATTCGCTCATATTCCAGTGACTCTAATCTCTTTAATGACGATTTCATGGCGACGATCTAAGGCGTCCGTCTAGGATGCGCCCTTAGGTCGCGTATCCGCTGCGACTCGTGTCAGGAGGTGCGCGCCAACCCCGAATGGGAATCGCACCCTCGTGTACGTTCTCGCACGGGTGACCTGTATACCAGCGAGCGATGCTGGCACCCGCCACGGATCTGCTGGTTCAGGGTCTTATTCTCCGTTACGAATCAAATGAATATCATTTGGATGTTAGCAGTACTGGCGCAATGCAGTTAACCAATAACTAGTTGTAGTGATTCCAACATTTTGAATAGATTTTGATCCATCTTTCTACATTTTTCGTCAATCGAGTCTATCAATCGAGTTCCACTGAATTCAGACTCGGCTACTTTCCTAAACTTCTTTAACTCAAAACTTATGGTTAGGTATAGATCCAATAAAGGGCATTCTCTGTGGCTACACTGGTAATTGAAGTAGTCTGTGTTCTGATATTTCATCTTCCAAATGGACATGGGACCACTGTTGCATCCTTCTTCTAAGAGTCGTGACTCGTAATTATCATTCAGCCCTCCCTCTCATTTTCTTCTCAGTTCTCCAATGTGCTATAGTACATTACCTGCTCACTACGAATGAACAAAAATGGCAAGTCATATTTCGATAAATCCAGTGACAAGCACACAGAAGATTTCTGTACATGTTGAATACCTTGCGTTAATATGTGTACCGGTTACTGGAAATTGAGGTTTTGATTTCTTACCTTCTACTGTTCACGATATTTCTGCCGAAATCTTGTGCACTTTTGAGTAAATTTAATGTATGCACAAATTACTAGATTAAAATATCTCTAGGGCAGAAGAAAGTATAAAGCACGGTCAACATCAACCATGAAAAATGTCTTATTTAAAACACTCATGGGAAGATCACTATGAGCAAGTACTTGTTTTCCTATTATGTCTCGGGTCTGGGACCGAGAAGGAATGTGCCCTCGCATCCCGGGGCGACGTCGTGCTAGCCACGGACGGGCAGTGCCACACGCGGCCGTTAGGGTGCTTCGAGCAGATTGTACTCTCTTGGCTCCGCTAAACATCTCTTTCGACCCGCATTAACCAACCAGATTGTGGTGCTCGCAGTAGCAACTTGTTCTATCCACTGGAAGATCGGCGTTTCACTAACGGTCTTTGCGGTTTCCGTGAACTAAATCGTAGTATTCCAACTTAAGTGAAATTCGTTTATGGCAGAGTCAGCAAATCCCTCAAAATTTGCAACGAACGCTGCATTTTTCTCGAATATCCATCGTTGACTCACCAGATTTACTTGAAATGACATGTTTCATGCAAAGGTAAGCTTATTCGTCTGGAGTTTCTTCAGTCCATATTGGACAGCTTGTGGTGTTGTACACACTTCTCATTCCTGTTTCAGTAAGAACTCCTTTAAACGCTTACAACTTAGCTAAGACATGGGTTATTTTAAACCCTTGACCGATCGAATCATTGAAGAAACAGTGTGGCCATCGAGTACATCTGATGCAGATTCCCACGATAGTGACCCGCCTCTTCCGCAATGTGCTATCTGGGTGTGCGTGCGTGTGTTTGGTCACTACGACAGTGTACTTCCGCATCAACCTGCCGACCATGATGTTTTCCTCGAAGTGCCTCGTAATTTCTTTCATGATTTGATGAGATTTTCGATTTTTGTGCAGCTTATATGCCTGTCAGTGGTATTTGGGTGTAACCAGGAAGCCGCACCTAGAATGGATTTGTTGTGGACAATATCTACATCATTTTGTAGCACTTTGAATTTCATGGTCTACCATCTTTTTCGGTTCCTTCTAGGATCGTTATCTGTAATTTGCAGTTGGCGAATTAAATAATGGCATTGCCACTTAAGTATAATTCCTTATGCAGTTAGATTTACTTCACCAGGCGTATCATGCAGTTATTAATTCCGTTTCTCCTCAATAAGCTCTACAATTCTTTCATCCTATTATTCCTTTCTATTCCAGTAGGTTTTCTTTTTTATAAATCTGTTGACAATGAATAATGAAGAGGAGTTAAATTGCATTTATCTCGTGGTTATAATTGAAGCATCAACTTCTTCCGTAACTCTACGTTGCAGCCGGTTGCGTCGTGCCGAAGCAGCGGCGGCGATTCCGTCGCTACTGTTGGAATGTGTGAAGCGTTCTCACGTCGGCCAATAAACGATCTCGGAGCCTACATTGACCGATTAGTTGAAACACTAGTAGTAAACGGTACGGGTAGCCAACAACATTCGAAGGTGAGTTCCTTGATTGTCTTTGCAAGGGCGACATGTCGGAGAGACACCAGAACTTCAGTTGTGTCTTCGTTTCAGCGTGTTCCAACACCAAGCGACCAACTACTTAGGGAAAGTCCACCTGATTTGCCTTTATCGTACAATCAGATCAACTGCCTCGAGAATGTACATCGTCTTCTCAAGTCCCAGTCTTTTTCTGATACTCAAAAAAAATGCGAACAGGAGGAGAACTTAGTGTAAGTGATCTCTACACGTTTGCATTCTCTTGTCAGTTTTTCAAGCGGACAAACCGGATTCTATGCCTATTCTAATATTCGTACAGTAACTCTAGTTCCTAGTGCTTTTGATGTGAATCCACTGATGTCTGAGGTAAAAAGTGGCCGCTAATATGGTGCCAGGCTCCAAGCATCACGTGGGACAAATGATGGTCCACATCATTCCAAGTCCGAGTATTACAGATGGCGACATTTATTAAAAATTAATGAACCCACTCTCAGTTTTTTGGCTAGCACACGCAGAATTTCGACTTCTGCTCTCCATAGAAAAGCTTGCCAATAATGCGACTGAGAGTCAATTCTACTACTTCTACAAGGGAAGCGAAGCACTAGCGTTGTCTTCACCAGGATCTTAATATCCGGAGATCTTGAGGTACCGAGTTGTTTAGTAAGAGGTAATATGCCTATTCTGTTGAAAATACTTTAGGGTTTCAACCATGCTCCCGACCATTTGAGTGAGTGCGGATAAAACCTATGTAAATCCTAACGGTAACGAACGTTTGAAGGTAGCAGCAACTACTTAACAAACATTACACTAACGTGAGCTTGGGATTCCATTGCGACTTCACCAAAAAATATGGTACCGAAATTAAGGCTTAAGATTTCGCATGCACTGCTTCTAACCGATCATACGCCTTTATTCGTTTGTTTGTTTGTCATTGATGCCACCCTACACCGAAGGCCGCTGTCCTTTGCGCAATACCGCATACACGAACAACAACCCTGATTGCTGTCACAACAACAAGACATTTGTGTGTTCTAAATAGTAATTCTCCTAAATAGTTGAATTCAATCTGACAATGTTTTCAAATATTACACTATATTGGAGATTAAAATTTCAACCGCTAATAGTGTCACTGAGCACCAGAGAATCCAACAGTACTTGAACTCTGAATAGCTGGAACTACTACCTGATTACTCTGCAGAATTAACAATAAGTGTTAGTCGGAAAGATCGCTATGATACGCATACCCTCTATTGTTCTCTTAATTTTTATTTCCGACTTTCGTTTAACCTCGATAACTTATCCTGTTGTTTTTGATAGGGTAAAAAACAAGATTGCCGCAAAACTTTATTGTGGCTAACAGTTCTGTGTCTTCGTCTTCTTTAGAGCTCCAGCGATTCCGATATAGTATCCATGGAATGAACTACTCGAGATACTCGACTCAAATCATTGTGGCTCTGAAGAAAGCGAAGGCGCAGAAACTTTAGCCATTAGTGAAGTTTTGTGACAACTTTGACTAACCAGTCAATAAAGTAGTGTTATGAGAACTTATTTTTAGGTCTTCAACGACGGCGTCGGTGCCACTAACCCGTGAAGTCCTGCAAGCGCATACCAGACGTTGGGAAGAACAGTACCGCAACACTTGGCAACGTCGTCTTAAGCGAATATCAGCCGAAACACTGCATGGTGGTCCTATTCAAAAGAATTTACGCCCTTCTTCCAGCCGTACACCGTCAGTAGATTGGCCAGCATGGAAGCGCGAGAATAGTCATTGTAATTTGGCACCAAATCCGCCACCACCTCCTGGGATGAACTTTCAGGTGAAGAATCAAGTCAATCTCCATATTTATCGGGTAGCTCCGTTATCCAATTAATCACATTTGACACTAATGAAACTGAAAGATGAGAGAGAAATCCGGGGTAACTCACAATTCAAAACTCTGTAAAAACAATGAATTGTCCGAATCCTTTTTAAATGAAGTCATCGCTTGTTTTCTAATTGAAACACGATATTCGAATCAAGCCAGAGATGATATAGACAACCGCTAACCACTTAGAAGATACGTTTTCCAAAAGCACACCAAATATTCAAATAATCAACAAGTCACAATATGAAACAAAATATGAGGTCCAACACTTCTTTCCAGATAACTACTATTCCGTTACCTCCGCAAGAAGAGAAAAGCACGCCTCCAACTTCGGTTAACGAGCAGTATAGCGCGTTCACTGTTGTCCATCCAACGGTGGGCCCACTTCGAGAAATCCCGACTAGCATTGCGCTGTCGATCCAGAACCATAGCTCCGTAATTCAGACACCGTACGACCTTCAGTGTACCTATGGAACCAAACCGCTATCGCTCAAGCATCATACGGAAGATTCGCGCTTGTTGTCAGAAAGTGCATAGGATTTACAAATTTTAATTTATTATGTCTCAATAGGTTTTTTACCAGAATTGTGAACTATCTGGTATCTTTTTTTTAGCCACCCCTCTATTTTTAAACTGCCGATACCATATTTAAATCTTACGAGATATGTACGTATGCTTGAATTGCTTGCTTTATTTCTTTGTTGCCTTTCTATCCGAGTTACAACCACTGCCGAGTGCGTAAGACAGGACATCGCACACATACATGCTGCTACCGTACACCATCCGCACCATAGCACATAATGGGTACAGTACTGTCGACGTTCTATAAATGTGATTCAGAATTTCCTCATTCCTTATTGTTGCCGTGCTCGTCTTTTTGTCTCCTCCCACTCGTCTTTCATGCCCTACCCTACTGTGGTAGGAACCGCATCTGACCGCGAAATACCTCTGTTATCGTAGCTAGTAACCACTTTAATTCCTTAACTGTACTTTCTAATCAGAATTGATAACGATTACGGTAGCAGAGGGTAACGTAGTGCTGTCGAGTGCGTCTCGTGCAATCTGATATCTCGTGTCTTTTTTTCAGTGAAGTGTACGTTGTCATATTTATTTCTTTACGCCTATTCCCTTACTGCTGAAGATATTTAGTATTACCAATTCGCTGCTAATCTTTCAAAAAGCCACTTTAATATATGCATATTATGTAAAATGTACAACAATGCATAGGAGTTGATGGATAATCGAAACCGATAAAAATGTCAGAATGTTCTCTTTTCAAAAATCAAGCAAAAGAAAACCACTAAGAATAGAGGGTTTTTATGCCTAGGTTCAACAACTCAAGTTAGTCGTATCAACTCAAATCCTCGTTTTCTTTCCCCGAGCACCTCTTGTCGCATTCCCGCTCCCTCTTCGTCCATGTCCTATATTACGACGGGAAGCTGCTGAAGCACGAGCATCTTCGACGCGAAAGGCATGGTAAAGATTCACGAAATTTTTCACACTTTCCTCGCAAAATATACATCCTTTAAAAGTTGACTTTTCTTCTGGCAAAGGGTTCTTGTCCTAAAAGGATTTCCAACGTTCTTCTCAACACTTTGATAAGAAACATGTTAAGAAATACCGGATTCAATCTCAACATCCACTCACAAATATTAAATTATTCCAGAGTAAAAAAATACAAGGTCATTTGCAAACTCATTAAATAAAAAATGTAAATAATATTCGAAATCTATTTATGTATATCTGCTTTACCAATTTTAAAAAGAAGAAAGTTCGTTCATTAGTCTTGTAAGTAAAGTATGACAGCCACACTAAAACATTGATACCGAAAACCCCTACTAGTATCCCGGTCAACCCAATTGCACCAATCAAGTCTTACTGACGCGTACAGTGTTGTTTAAGCGAGCGATAAAAAGGATAAAAGCTCTCGACGGTGATCAATCCCTGAGGGATACGGAATGCATTCGACTTCAATAAGCATCGTTGAAGGTGATTGAATGCATATCTGGCCTTTACAGGGACCCGCTAAGGACCACCGATTTATCGATCCCGTGGTGCTGTCCTCCCAGACAAGTCTGGTATCAATTTGTCAAACCTGGACAGATGGAGGACTTGGTGAGCTTGGCGGCGTGTATCATCTCATGTATATTGTAGGGCACCTCTGACCACTGTGCTGCATGCCCATTAAGCCAAGCGAGCGGTAATGGTAAAAAATCTAATTGTTAGTACTGTTCTGATAATTGGTAGATAAGAAAGGTCGAAACATGATACTTATACCCGAGGTGACAACGATCAACTTGTGACCGTCGACTCAGATCAACGCGCTCTAAGGAAGGCGGAGGGACTAGAAACGTCATACAAATAAAAGTTTTTGCACCAACTTCGTATCAGCTCAATCATGTAGAATATCAATGACTATTCTTATCGAGATTCAACGAAAATCAGTTTTTAAGACAAAGTTGGTGATTGTTCTAATAACTGCGCATGATAACACTGCAAAATTCAACAGCAGTCCTGCGAAACAGCGAAAAAAACTTTGAAAGACCGTTTATCCTGTATGCTGTGTTTTTTTGGGCTGAAGTTATACAGCAATAGTAGTAGTAAAATGAAAGGATGCCAGAAATATTCCAGTACTTAATCTTGGTTTTTTTGGAAATTCGCTTGGTTCGGTTTGGTCATCGCTTGTGGCTTAGGAACGCGTAGTCGGCATAAATTTTATCGCACTTAAATTCCCTTTCCCAAAAATTCCATATCGTTGGATTGAAACAGTTGACATAGGACAACGACAGTCTTCAGTAATTCTTCCACTGTCTTCCAAGTTTAGTGACTTTTGATTATTCGACTATGCGTAAACTACATCATATAAGAATTCGTTTTTCATATAATCGCGAGATCTAGTTGTTATCCGGTGACTTTATACGCACGATCGAAGACGGTCACCATTTACGCCGTTTAAGCAACTTCCGATTGAGTTAACAGTAGATATAATACGCATACCGCCTAATAGAGGATAGTGGAGTAGTTGTAATCCCGTACGTTACGCGGACGGCTCAACCAACTCAGGCGTAGGTTCGATGCCGGTCAAGGACAACCAAGCCTTTCATCCCCACAGGGTCGGTAAATCAGTATCAGACTAGTATCGAACAAGGTGAATCCCTCCAATCAATGCGGCAACGCTTCACACGACTATACCAGGATTCTTGAAAGCATTGATTCGACCAGCACTCAACGATATTCACAAAGTAGACGAAAAAATACTCAACCACCAACCAAAGCCACAGGTAAGAAAGTTCGAAGACTTTAGTGGATGGTGGATGCGAGGAAACGAATTGAACGCAAGAAGTGCTCGAACAATGTTTACAGGTGACGCCGGTTTATATAATAACTACTTGATTCTTGATACTTGCACGGTCCGCCCTCACTGGTTGTGCGGGCCCCAGCAAAATCACAATTTTTCGGAGATTTGCTGGTTAAACCATTGTGGTTCCTGGAATACCGAGGTCAGTATGGGCAAAGTCCGCCGTAGTTTTTCATTACCATAGGCAGTCGCTGCCCTTGTGGATCAGAGGGAGATTTGCCACCATGTGACTAATTTGATACCAGGGCGGTGGTGGATCCTGATATTGGTTTACTCTTAGCTGAACTACCTGATGGCAACGCCGGACTCCTCAGCTTGGGAGACTCCGCCTGGGAGACGAATCTCCCGCCCTGTACCTCGCAGTCCGACACCCAGGAACACCTCCCATCCATGATGAGGTGGGAAACCGTTGGAGGGATATAATAATTAATAATTAATAAACAATAAACAATAATATAATGCAAGCTAGCACTTTTAAGACAAAGCAGAGAAAATATTCATTCTACATGATGTACAGAAATCTTTTGCCCCTTATATTAACTTTAATTTCTGTCTAATCAATTTCGTCAAATGTGGAATACATTTAAATTGCACAGCTAACCTTGTAATCCACATTTATTATCTGTGCCTGGCATTGTGGACAGGAGGTCTCCATAACTCGAATTTTAACAGCACCCTCAAACATCGACACCACCGATGGGCACTTGTTGCACGTCAGACGCCACTTCGGATGCGACTGTGGATCCAGTACCATTACTCCTCAAACACATCATAAATCCCCACAGTATGATTATGAGTGACATTTTTCAAACCAAAAAAAGCTTCGTCGAAAACAAGTAAAGCGAAGAACAAGAAAAGTCATAATTGAATAGCAATAAATTTCATTACGGAGTGAGAACAAGATTTTCAGTTCTTCGACCCTTGAGTTGAAGAAAACTGTACCATGATGTTTCGAAACGAAACTTATCAAGACTCAACTCAAAAACTCATTTAACACAAGGCAGAGGTCAACAACACCGATTTACTTCCCTAAACTTATTCATCGTCTCTAAAATTGCAGAAGCAAATGATGACGTTGATTTGGCTTTTCAGATCGCCCTTTACATGATTGGAATATCATCGAAGGATCCGCTAAAGTTGCAAGAATAACTGCCATTTTGGAAGAATTCGTCCGAAAAGCAATAAAATTTCGTCCGATTCATAAAAGCCGACAAATGTCTGTAGTAACAACATAGAGATGTTCTTGGTCGACTACTACAGTTTTTTTAAGAGAAAATCGCATAAAGCAGCATGTTAAGTGCCAGTGAGAGAAACTATCAAAGGTGAATTTTTCAGTCGATCCGCAGAAGAACCAAATCATTTTCGTGTATGGCGGTTGCAAGGTAATGAAACTAATGGAGTAGTGCTGGGACATCTACAACATATGAAGACATCTGAACATGTAATGAAATTTTTACAGAGGTTACCTCAATTCCCTCGACTTGCGACAGTCATTGAAGGCAACTCAAGTTTATTTTTTGAGACAAAGTATTACTTACATGAAGTATGAACAGAATATTTCCGACTGGTAAAAGAAGCCTTGTCAGCAAGACAGAAGACTGCCTTGGCTAGACAAACGAAATTCTTTCTCCGCCGCTGATTAAAATACAGACTTATTCCGAATTTCATTAAACGAGAACGACAGCACGAATTACACCGTCTTGCAGAGGACAGCCACCAAGTACTAGACATCGAAATGCGACTATTCCGAGCCTCTCTACGATGCAAGCAGAATAACATGTATGCTCAACTAAAAAATGCGAGTCGATGGAATTTTGTTGTGCTCAAGATTTGAATGATCAGCTTTGGAGGAGAATAATGGACGGGCCAATATCGATTTTCACGTCTATCAGGTTGAATGCTAAGGTAAAGTTAACCAATCGCATAAATGAACCTCAATAAAACAAAGGAATACCGCTTACAAAAGCAGCTAGAGTAAAATTAGGGTCGATAACGTGCCAGGGAACTCAAGGGTCATCGTTTCGAAGGCATAAAGTTCAAATAAACCTATCTCAAAAAAAGGCCACACGAACAAGAGGTATCGAAAGCCGAGTAATAAGAACATAGTGGTTCACTACTTCTCCTTTCCCCATCACACACAGAAAAAGCGTTTGTGAAAAAATTGCTTTGAACATCTGCCAGTGTATGCAGAGGAAGAGAGCAGATGGAAGAATCCATGAAATCGGCAGGGGAAATAGCCATTTCCAATGGCTACGAAAATGTAGCTCATCTGGATAGGTGTAGAGGAAAAATGCCGCACCCAAACAGTAATTCCAGAGAGAAGTCTCGTTTATCCTGCCCTTTATTTCCGCCGAAATAAATGCACCTATAAAACGTTACCTAAGAGTGGTCGGGCTATAGAATTCGGCAACAGTGATTGAAATGCTAACGGACACTCCAAGACGAAAGTTAGTTCATAACTGTCTATCTGACCGTCTATGCAATGCGGAATTGCATAAAATCACTGACTGTAGAAACGGTGATTGCATGAGCTCGAGTCATCTGATCTCTAGTAAGGCGTGGGGGATGAATACGTTGGCGAAGCGGGTAGACCATTCTACTTGCGCATAAAAGAACACCTAGTCGGTACAAAAACTGGAGCACATTGCTATCACTCTTTCCATCTATGTGTTCCTCTATTCCAACACGAAGTGATCAACCCGTTTTGTCACAACGTTTATCATCCCACGCTCTATAAGAACTCATGCCGCTTCCACCCGAACCACTACTCGCCGTTGTCGTTCAGTCAAACCACGCAACAACATAATGTTCTATAAAGATAATCCTTGTGGCGATAACGAACTGGTTCATGCCTGAGAGTGTACGTGGCAGTTCAACTATTGCCATCTATTCCTTTTTAGAAATATTAAATATAATTCGTATATAATGCTGAGATATTTTCAAAACTCCGGACCGCAGGTGTATGCGGTCCGGAGTTTTGAAAATATCTCAGCATTATACACGAGTTATATTCCACAACATACCCTGCCATTAAAAAGAAAAAGGTAGTAAATAAAAGGGTTAAGATTAAACATAATCTTATCAGAGATAGAATGACCGTTTCAAAACGAATTTTCCTAATGCTCGGCTTCTGGAAACGCTTTGTAGCCCACCCACTTCTGGGATGGATTAGCACAACGTTTACAAGCATAAGTTATTACCTTTCAAATGATATTGAGTGAAAATAAAAACAATTGCTTATATGCTCCCTTGTGGAGAGAACAGAATGACCATTGATTAATCCACAGGAAAAAGCCAAGAACCGGATCTTTGTTCTTAAGGTGAAAGAGGAGTTAGGAAGATCTGGTACCATCAGTAGCTCCATTGCAAACCCCTTTAACAGTACGTGACATTTAGAGGCCGACCTAAAGAATGAACTAGTAACATACTCCATAAAGCGATTCACGAGATGCGTACAGTTCGCGGACTCTCCCAGTCAAGTGGTTCTTAAGCGATTAATCGTGAGCTAAAATGACCTGTTCGGATGTGAATGGTAGGGGTTGAACGTAGATCCGAAGCGATATTGTATCTGTAATGAGACGAAGGAAAGACATCATGCCATTTATCTGTCAGATTATCAAGAACATTAAGAATATGGGTACACATGAGTTCAAGTGTGTGTTGCTGTGCTTGCGGCTGAAACCCTGAAAACGAGTGACTGGAAGAGAGAAGGGATGTGGTGTAGAATCATCTCCTAAGTGAAAAACCAAGCGAGATAACCTTCAGCATACATATTCGGAAACTACGGCACAACAGTGCTATAGGCAATATCTCACCAGGTACATTGGTCTAAGTATTCTACGCGAACTCTAAGAAGCACTTTGAAGAAGACAGCGGCTACTTCAAGTTTATCACTCGTCCGTTAAACGGCACGGTTCGCCTCGGGAGAGAAGGTCCAAGGAATCACGTTGATTGCTTCGATTGAAATGGAATGAAGAAGGAAGGAAGCTGAGTTTATCATCATAACCACGATCATTCATGGTAATTCATAGTTCCAGAAGCACTACTTTCATCGATAGATGTGGGGAACCGCCCGTGGATTGGGGCGTAACGAAATGGACCATATCACAACGAACTGAAGGATTCATCCGACCAATGTCAAAGTTGTCGCATATCTCTATGGTCAAAGTTTCACCTTTTCGCAGAGACTTTTCTTTCCTAGTAAAACTCTATCCTTTGTAAGACGGAAATGTTCAACTGCTACACTCGCGCAGCGTTTCTTAATACCGTCTTCTAAATAGCCTCAGAATTACGTTGCGTTCATGATGAGCTGACACATGGTTAGTCAGTCTGACACAATGCTGTGAGTGAAACAGATGATGGTTTGTTTTCCTCTTCACCTCCACAAACCAAAGGACAAAAGTATAGGATGAAGTCTCATCTGTAGAGTAACAAGGTTTGCCGTCATTTAACCAACAATAGTATTATTCCGAGATTTAGATGTAACCTTTCACGGCCCGCTGTCACATCGAGATGAGTGCTTTTAGGTGACCAAATGTGATGTACAAAGTACAGTTGTCAATCTCGTTCATCTCTCATCCATCCAGTTTATAGTTTGCATGATATTCTGTCACTAACTGTACTTTCCACCTGCTACCTACACACCAGAAAATTATAAGCACACACAATGCTAACTCACCAACGTATCAGTAAAACTGATACAGCGTATAAAAGCTGAGAAAAGATGCCAAATATACACTCTTTCCCGTCTACTACCGTTTTCAAAAGATTCTGACAACATTTACGACACAAAGAAGAAATGTCTCGAAACCGGTAAGATCATTGTGAACACAAAAAAAACGAAGCAAACACTTCAGATTTTACTATTTATTTGGAAATTTTGACGGTCCGTCCTCACTAGTTGTGCGGGCCCCAGCATGTTCACCCTTTTTCGGAGATTTGCTGGTTAAGCCATTATGGTTCTGTGGAGTCCCGAGGTTAGCTTGGCCAAAGTCTGCTCCAAGTCGTCACCACCACAGCCAGTCGCAGCCTTTGTGGATCAGAGGGAGATTTGCCACCATGCGACTAGTTTGATACCAGGGCGGTGGTGGATTCTAGTATTGATTTACTCTTAGTTGGGCTTCATGATGGAAACCGGACTCCTTCTCAGCTTGGAAGACCCTGCTGGATGGATGAATCTCCCGTTGCCCGCTGTACATCGCAGACCAACACCAACGAACACCTCCCAGAAACGATGAGGCGGTAAACCGTTGGGAGATCCGATTTTATTAAAACCGGAAACTATGAAGAACAAGCACATTTAAAGAAAAAACAAATAAGTAAATTATTATCAATAAATTAAATGCTAATTTCTTTATTTACTGCCTACTACAATTTTACACGCGAGGATAAATGGAATGCAACGACAATGATGCTGATATTTACAAAACGTGGACCCAAGCCAGATCGAGCCGCGAATGCTATTTCAGGGTGGCCACGTGTCGCACACTGCACCACTGAAGCCCTTGCTTTGACTTTCTATCAACTTGTTTTCTACTTAACGATGCCATCAGCAATCACCCGTCAACGAGATTGATTTGAAGAGCACAAATCGGCATTGAACCCAGTTAAGCTGAGACTGCGATCGAAATCACAATGCATTTTTATTTACTGCCTATTATATTTTTCTACCGCAGCGTATTACGAATAAATTAAATAATAATAAAATAAATTAACAGAATAAATGCTTCAAGGCTCTCGTCATTCTCGAGCCAGGAAACTAGTACCGGACTTGCCCGGGAAAAGTTTACTCTGTGCAGACCAAGTACGAACGCTTTAGCCCAGTTACTTCAGGATTCGAGAGCGAATCGACTTGACCAGTACTCAAAGACATTTATAATGAGAAATAAATCCTCAAGCAGCAGCCGAAGCCATATGTAAAACTTGGAAAATCTTAATGAATTATGGATGCGAGAAAATGAATTGAATGCGAGAAATATAGAGAACTTATCTCTGGAAAAGTTCTCTATCTTCCTAGACAACAGTATGTCCATATATGGCCGCTTCGCAGTCGCACACCAAACACCACAATGTAACTTTTATAATCTACGGGCCAATTATGTCCAGTGTTTCAGGCACAATAGCGGTTCAGGTTTGACTTCAATAGCACTCCAACGATGGCTTATCCGAAGGAAGAGACGTAACAGTGGAAAAGTTTAATATCCCAAGTTTGAGGCTGGCGGATCATTTCTAACAACTAAAAGACCGGCGTGGCTAATGTTCTACACCAATCTGAACCGCTACACTTCGCCGCTAACTATTTCGTTACAAGAAGTGCTGGGATCGGGACAGCAAATGTGAAAAACGGGTCATGTAAAAAATAGAATAAACAGAAGGAAATAAGTCTGCCTAGTCTGTTCCTCGGATGGAGAGCGGAGAATACTGTATATCAGTCCAATCACATTAAATTATGCCCCGTGGAATGATATGGAAGCAAAATCTTCCTCTCCATTTCATAATCACTATCTTAATTTCCATTACCACTTTGCACTTCATCAGCAACTATTTGTGTAGCATGACTTTTATGTTTTTGAGTATAAATCTGTTGTAAAAAGCGAACGATAAAAGACCTCGAAAGATCAGAACGATGGAATCGCTTGTATACATAATTTGAAGGTTGCTACGATGCTTAGCTTACCTCCACACTCTTGCAAACATCCACACACTCCTGATGTCCTGAAAGCAAACTTCTAAATAAAAAAGACCAAAACACTACCTCCGCCAAAAAATACGTAATAGCAAAAAAAAGCAAGTAATAATTAACAAACAACGACATACATGTATGAATGAGGACAAGTCGGGTGGGGACAATGGTTACACCCATGCCCTTCTTTCATCGACTCAAACGGAGGATTATTATAGCAGAAGGGACAAAACACAAAGCTTCGAGCAAGTTTTCCGCCAGAACCCTGGAATTTCCCAGAACTTGGAAGCTATGTATTCTCGTTATGTGCGGAAATATTTTCCTAAATCACTCGGTTATTTTAAAAAATTTTAAATGTTCCGAAAATGTTGGACATCGAATGACCACTTTGCACTTAATTTTAGCGCCTAGAATACAAATGGATCACATCGTTTCACACCTGATTTACACATTCTTTAACATGACACGACCTCTTATGCCATAAGGAACGCAGTACTTCTGGCTTTTGATTCCTTTGTTCGCATGCGCACAACATGAAGATCTTCAAAGTTTTTCAGAATGGGTTTGACTTTTAGTTGAGAATTTTCGACCTCCCCAAGAAGGTCGCTGAATGCCTGTCGAGTCTATTCTCTCTACAATCCAAGGATAAAAGCGCCAGGAAGGGAAAGCTTGGTGGGTCCCAGGCTGAGTTGAACAAGCGCCTTGCTCACAACGAACGGATAATTGGAGTAACTGAGGATTTGAAGATTCAACATACATATGAAAGACAGACAGCTGTATAGCTCAAAATCTGTTTATAATCCTTAGAAAATTTCAACTTTTTTAAACGGAACTATAAACATACTAAGGCAATAGGAGCCAATTCTTTTTTTCAAACTAGCAGTAGTCGCCCGCATTGGTGAAGCATTTGGGAACACCATCGTGTCCCTCTGGACCAAGTCCCTTTTTTATCTCTTTTTAAATGCTCAAAACGAAACCGTCAAAAATCGAAAAAATATGTTCCATAGGATCCGGGAGAGCAGAATTCCATTTCGCTAGAACAGCTAAAGTTGTGCTGTATTCAGGTGTGCAAATTTTGATGCCTTTTGTTCAAAGCTAAATAGTTAAACTGGTTACGCATCGTTCATGCATCAAAATTGATGCACATCTTTAAGAATGTGCCGCGCATAGAGACGGGTATTGGGAAAACGTGCACACCGAAAAACAAAAGAAAACACTTTTCACATTTTCTAACATCAAAGGTGGAACAACATTTCAACAAAACTGCAACACTTACATGCCAATACACTAGATCGAAATCATCAAGTGGACACTTCTTATCTCCATACGGTTGCAGAACTCCATGCTTGGAATTTGGTACAGCATAGGTCTCCTTAAATAAGATGTTTCGAATAATTATACTTCACTTATTCATAATTTTAACAAAGATGGAAGCTGCTATTTGACTCTCGTTTTAACAGCCATTCTCAACAACGATTGTGCAAGCACATTTAATTCATTCGTGATAGGAGCATATTTTCTTCCACAAAATAATTGTAAAATATTAAGTAAAAGTGAAAAAGACCTGGACTTGGAGATAGATACAAATTGACTCGAAAGACAACAGTTGGTAGCCGCTCCTAGAAATTTTGCTCCTAAAAATTTTTCCCCCAAAAATTCGACAAGCTACCGCTACCGCACCGGTGGAAAATCGTACAGAAGCAATCACCATACATTCAGACGAAAACACGTTTAGAACCCACCGTCAGCCCAAATGAACAAACTGGACTGGTTGTTCACATGACAGCTGTTATGGAACAAACTACCATACATTCGTAGAAGGAAGCCTTTTACGATATTTGCAAATGTCGCTAAATTTGTTTGTTATCTGTTATCAACAAGTTCTCTTTTTTCATACGACCCATCTTCACATCTAATGAGGGAAACCCAGCAATTCTTGCATTCGATTCCTTTCCTCGCAACAATCACTCGCGAAGGTTTTCGAACTTTCGAGGGTGGATTCGGTAGCTCCATGAGGATTTTTCGTCTTCGTCACGTATGCCGTTGAATTCTGTTCGAGTTGATCCTCTCTGGAATGCTAAGTTACACGTGTTGGAGCGTTCACGTGTAGATTAGAGCGAGTGGGAAGAGAGGCTTGGTGAGATCAGGCGGGGTCGAACCAGCGAACCAGCGACCCACTCGTTATCGACAGCACCACTACCGCGGGGTTGAATATCATGGGATTCAAAATAGGCGGTCCACACTCACGTTCATCGTCTCGAAGTTGACATTCTTCGTCAGCAACACACATTTGCCAGCCATCGAATCCTGACCATTTAGTTCCCAAGATCGACTTTCTCTTAACCTCGGCATTGGAATATGAATGTGTCGTTTTCTTGCTCAGCAATCGCGAGGTTTTTAAACAGCATACATTTACTTCCATAAAGAAAACACAATACAATACAACGCTAGCTGACGTTTCGGCGGATTTCGCCTTCGCCTGACCATTTACTGTTTACAATCAGGTAGCTGTATCCATGTACGGTTAATTGTACAGAAACGGTGTTCAAAAAACTGATTTCTTCGTGATGCTATTCCTATCCAATCTAATGGGGAAGACGAACAGTGCCGCTCCTTGACTCATCAGTTCTTCCGCATAGGCTGTGATAAGGTAAATCAGGAGAATGAAATAGGCATTTTAGTGACAATGGCTGGACAAGATTCCTTAGTAATTACGTTCCACGAGATTTCAGATATATGAAAGGAAGACCATTTCCACTGGATATCGCAATAATGATCCTATAAGGAAACAATGCTGATCTTTAACTCCATCTAACGCTAGAAAACTCAGCAGGTAGAAACAACGCCAGACAGGGGCCAGTAGAGGCTCAAAATATTGGATCGGAAAGAGGATGGGAAATAGTACAAACTCCAAGACTTTGAACACAAGTAAACGCCGTTTGAAACGGTGAGTTGGTCGGCATATCTAGTAAAAGATCCCGGCCGCAAAACGTTTATACACTCCACTTTATGAAATTCAGTTGATCATCATTTATATTTGAAATCACAAGTCGTTGTGTTTGGAATCGTAAAATGACGCTATTAAGACGCAAAATGGATGGAAGTGTATTAAAATGTCACCATTGACATCATTTTCTATAGAAAATAATCAAAACACACAACGCCAATTGGGTTCCAAAGAGCAACAAAATATGGATCTGCCTTAGAAGGCAGACAGTTCACAGCCGTTGCACTAAAGCATTCAATACACTGATATCTACCTGGCAACAAGGACAGAAAAGCCGCTGAGGCCTTGTATCCAGCAATTTCATGTATCGCCTGCACTTGCCGCATCGGCAAAACGGCTTTCCGGTCTCGGCGAGCGAAGTAAAAGAAGCTAAAATCCAGATAATTTTCTCCATACTAAGCCCACCTACTTTAAGCGTCCATTACAAAAACCTTCAAATGCTTTCAGAGCAATTCTTAGCTCTAATGATGAAATGCATCACCTTCAAATAAAACATCGACCTGCGCGATGTTTTTCACATAGTACACAAATTTTTGACGGAACATTTCCAGCACGTGGTCTCTTACCTAAATAGATACAACTTTTAATAGTGAAGAAAAATATTGCCGAAACTTCCCTTTCTTCACAGCAGTTCAAGACGTGAGCATTCTAACTTCACTTCTTAACGCTTTAAGATTGAGGGAGTTCTTTTTCTATTTGCGATTTTCGTAGGCTCTTCAATGGCGAAGAAACTTCTGGTGATTGGTAGGTGGTGTTCCTTTGCGTCAAAATGCGACATTCAGCAGGAGAGTTACCTTAGGAGAATGTTACCTAAGCTGACGACAAGTTTGAATAATTCCACCCAAAAATCCAGTTAAAAGTAAATGCGTAAAATCGTCGTCGACCTGGAAGTAATGTAGTCTTAAGGTGGTTAACCTCCCACAGTAAGGGATCATCTATACATATCGGCTGCCGTCAATAGTAACGGTTTGAGAACACCCTGTCATTGTGAGACTCTATGAAGAAAACTCACTTCACCAAAGACAAAGGAACAGCCGTATTTTGAAATTTAAGAATTCTCTTTTACGATGTTGAACGGTAAGAAAAAACTGGCGGCAGGCGATCAAAAATCGGGGTACACGGGACAACACAGAGACCGCGTCATAGCAACACATCCGCGACCTGGAGCAAAGCATTCTGGCTCTGCATTCAAAGTCCAGGAATAAAATTTTGAAAGGACGGTCCTAACACTCCTCTCGGTGCTGCTAACCACTTAGTGTTGCTAATCACATCACTCCATGTGTTTTCCCTATAAGACACAAATAGTAGGAACACTACTTTTTTATGTGACCAGTCATCAAATAATGTGCTCAGCTCGGCATTTATTTCATTCGGCTGTTTGCTGTGCTCCCGCTATGCATGACGGTCTTCGGATTTGCGTGTGTATTGGGCTGGCGCTCGAGGCCTTCTTCATGAATGTCTTTCAATTACGGTCAACTGATGCTATTTAAAGATTAAAACATAAAACTCTCGGCGTTTATCAATCTCTGAGAGAAGTGCTATGCATTCAACTTTACCAAGCATCGTTAGAGGTTGTTGAATGTATATCTGGGCTATATCGGCGTCTGTAGCGCAGTGGTCGAGGGAGCCCTGCACTACATATGGAATCGATCCCCGCACCGCAGACTCACCAAGATCTTCACCTCTTCGGGATCGGAAAATTGGTATCAAACTTGTCTGAGATGATAGCATCTTATGAGAGTGACTCGACACATCGATAGGTGACCGCGACTTATTCTAAAGGCCAGATATGCAATTAAAATTGATCAACGCCGAGAGCTTTACCCTTCATCCTTTGTCTGGGCTACACAATGATTGACTCATGGTACCTAGACATGTCTCGAACCAATCTGCCGAGCTCGAAGAGATGGAAGGCTTGGTGAGACTATGGCGCGAAATCCAACCCATATGTATTTCAGGGCAATCTAACCACTGCGCTACACCTACACGCGTCTTTCGATTCGCTTTAGGATCCTAAAATAGCTTTGGTTTCCAACTTTACAACACAAGCATTCACCTGTTATTGTGAATGGGAGAAAGACATTCGTAGACAAGTCTGGAAACAATGTGTGAACTACGGAGTCATGGGACCTTATAGACTTGGCAGAGGTAGCAACAATGGCTGCATTGAGCGTATGGCACTGTGCACCTCAACAAAACGCTTCCTATGCCCTATAGGATCGAAATACTTGAATTAAATGGAGACATTGTTGGCATTCGTGGATATAAGTCCTCCACGCAATTTCGCTGACGCCGACTTTGCCATACATTCATGTTATCTGTGATGCTGACTCACTTGAAGCAGTATTACAATGTTTCGCCGCCCAAAAAAATCGAAAATTCATCAAAGGTCTGTTTGTCCGATGCCTCTCGGTCAGACAATAAAGAATTCGCAGCAGAGGCAGCAAAGGATGGTAAAGTCAAGTTCGTGCAAGCATCCTCTAGGGTGAAAGAGACTGCGACCGCAAAACAATGAATTGAATTGAAAATCTGCTGGAACCTGAAGACACGTGAAGACTATCGAAGAATCTAACAATGTTTTTGCAACAGTCTCCGAAAATTTATCGTAAAACTAGCCTGTGTGTTTTACTAACCATATATCTTATAACGCTCAACGACTGCTGGCTGTTCAAACAGATGATGGACTCACAGCTTGGTAATCGGCTTTTCCTTGAGCGATAAGGTTAAGTTGAGTTTCAACCTCTGCTCTCATTGTTGGTAAAACCAGTTCTCTGTCAACTCGCCAGTAACCGTGCACCAGTGAGATTCCTAGTTTTGTTGGAACCAAACGACGACCACTTTCCACCTGTAATGTTACGTTACCTCATTCTCAACCATCTTTCTTAACCCAAATTTAGAACCTTTTAAAAACAGGATTACTCCTATCTGCGAAATCAGATGACAAGTAGCACAGGTACTGTAAATATTGTAAATTTTCCACCTATATTAATCAATTTTTGTTAACCATAATTTCCGAGCTCAAATGATAAGAATACAGTAATTAACGCGTTGTCTGTCGAAACACAGCTAAGCTAGTTACATAATGAGAAGAACAAAGGACAGATGGACGAAAAGAACTTTAGAGTACAGTGGACTCCATAAGGACGCAGACATCCTCCTAATACAGTCGCCTTCACGTTTGGCGGATGTGTTCGTAACTAAACTTAATCAGGTGTACTCGCAGCTACAGTTGTTTTATAGATCACGGCTACTTTATTGGATTTTACGGTGTAATTGAACTCTGTTAAGAGTGAGGTGCCCATCCACATTTTAGACATTCAACCTAATATATGATGCAATCAAATTTAAAAAAAAAACATCTGCTGAAACGATATACACTTTATCGCTTGTACTGCCCTGATGCCGAGGGCGGTTATCGTCAGCTCAATAGGACTAATGCTTAAAGAAACCATGTTGTATATAGAAACCTACTGCAACATAGTTCCTTTGACAAATTGTATTGATATGTACAGGAATAGAAGCATCGGTGCCAATACCGTGCTTCTCCATCAGTGAGATAAGTTCTGACTCAGTGAGATGACCTGGTGGAGACGTCTCGCGAGCCAAAATACTCGAATTCCTGCAGCGAACCACTTAACAGCACCAATAACTGAGTGTTGAGAACTTCTTAATAATATACTACATATGTTAGAAATAGTCAAACACTACATGCAAGGTAATAAGTATTGATTACATTAAATTAGGTGAACTACGTCTCCGACATGGAACATCGTCATCGCTTATGCTTTTCGTAGTGTGCTTATAAAAATTCACGTTTTTGACATAATTCTAACCGGTGTTAATAGAAATACATGAAAACTTCATTATACGAATAAAAAAATGATAAAGATATGGGATTTATAAACAATTTGTCAATAGTGAACAAATGACCAATTTCATCCTCTAAATTCCGGAAAATTCTCGTCCAGTTGTCTGACTTCCTTATAACACCGTCTACTTTCCAGAAATGCCCCCAGTTCTAACCTTCGGACACCAGTACATAAAAAATTAGCCCCACTTGTCTTTTTAAAGTTTAAGCTTTTGTCAACATCACGAAGACTAACATCATTAGGGTAAAACTTCATTATCGCAGATTTAACATGATCCGGAAAAAATGGCATTCCAGATCGTTCGAATACAACCTTCACGACGATTTCAAGAGAACAAAATGAATAGAAGGAATACTGGGCGTGCATGACAATTGAAGACAGGAGATCAACGTATCTAACCAGATAATATAATGATAGCTGATACTGATGAATGATACACGCCGAGTTCCATGTCATATTTCATCATTACTACGAAACTGTTAAAAAAGGATAAAGCTTTCGTTGTTCATCAATGCTTTAAGGATGCGCCATGCATTTGACTTTATCAAGAATTATTAGAGGTAATTGAGTGCATACATTGTGTATACAATGACTATCATTGACCTGCCAATGTCAGTATAGAGTCGAGTCAATGCCTCCCCCCATCCACCCAGACAGGTCTGGTCCTAATTTTCCGACCCCGGCGAGATGAAAGGTTTGATGAGACTGGAGCGTGAGATCGAATCCATGTTTGCAAGGCATCTCTAACGAACGTGCTACACCCTTGTGATTTAGGATACAGCATTCATGATAAGCACTACTAAGAGTAATGCTTCCCAGCGTACCACAACGCTAGAACCGTTGTATCAACTCGCGGTGATTTGATAGGTTAAATATATTTGATAGGATAAATATGGTTAATTCTGATTTTGGGAAAGATTTCGCTACAATTCATCCTGCATGTTTTTTCGATTTCCAACAATGAATGTCAATGCCAATTATTTCGAAAAGAAAATGAATAGGAATATTAGAGCGCCTGCACAGCAAATCAAACAGAATACACGCAAGAAGGTTATTATCCCTTCACTACGACACTCTTACTTGTTCAAGCACATTCTTATTGAATGCAGAGCTTTAGAAATACCATGTCTTCCTATCCACTTTAAACTGATTGTTAATAAAAACGATAACGTGTATCCCCGTGAAAAAAGTTTTGCTTAGAATTTGTGGTGGCTGGACTGTGTATTGAGCCTATAAAAATTTAAGATGAGCAAACAGATGAGGTAAATGAAACATTTCATTAAAAAATAAAGAAAAACAAGTGATTCCGAAAAAAAATATTGCCTCTTTTTATGCATGGAACCCAATCTCTGAAGAGCTCCACTCCATCTTCTATGACTCTTCCTCAAGCAGCAACAAATGTATAGTCGTAACTAAGAAGGAGAAAAAAGAAAAAAAATCCACCAAAATGGAGAAAATTGAAAAATACTCTAAAAAGTATTTTAAATTCCTTCTAGATACGTCAATTAAAAACTAAGTGTCTAAACTTAAAGACATTAGGAAATCATTTCACACAAGCGCTAGAATGGAGACGTGCAACTCAGCCTTCTAAAACTTCGAGTCTAATAAGTATGACTTTGACTATTTGCTAGGATGTTCTAACATTTCTGTTCCTGTGGATCGCAAAAGCGAATAACTTATTCCACCACATTCGCACCAATGTTGGTACTTAAGTAATTTTCGATAATCTAAAAGGGTACCTACGGAATTTGAAGACCTAATGAGTACACTTTACTCCGCTGCTCTAAGGATATATATGTGTATATGTATATGTATGTATGCATGATTTTAGATGTTTAAAATTCAGACTTTTAAAACATCGACAATGAAGTTCAAAATTTTTAGCGTTGTCAAACACAGCAACTTGGTCGATCAAAGACGCACTCGCGGACATTATTGTGTCATGTTAGAGGAAACTCCGTCCACCCGTTCTATTGCTATTGCTTTGCCATTCCAAACATGAACCTCATTTTAAAAAAGAAAAAAATACGCTCTTTCGGCTTCAGAAAATCAGAATTTCATCGTGATAAATGGTAAAATCTGTACTTTTTGGCAAATCGTTAGACTCAATATGAATCAATATCTCTTCGGATTGCTCATCTTACACAAGGTTGTTACAAAAAAGGGGTTGTGGATTGGACTGATGTAGATTGGTTCGTCTTCATAGTAACAAATGGTCAGTGGTGAATCAGCCAACAGCCGTCCGATATAAAAAGGCACAGCCGAGGGAAATTTTTCATTCGGGCGGTGCTCCACGCCACCGAATTAGACTCCAGGAAACTAAGAAGAACCACATCACGTAGACAATCGACTCCAATCATTGGAGCTCTGAAGAAGACAATAGCGTCAAAACGATCAAATAAAAAATTTTCTAAAAACTCCGTGCAAACAGAACAATCCAGAAAAATTACATCGTTACGGCAACAATCCCTAAATTCCAATTATTCTTATTTTAGACGCAAATTTTCACGATAACTTGTGAAACTGGAAGATGCCATAACTTTCGAAGAGATATATAATGAGACAGTGCAAAAAATAACACCTTTTCAAAACCACTTTCCAGTCAACAATTCATAAGGAGATTCTCGTCTGCTTTTTGAGACTATTATCTATCCATCTCCTGAATCATTTTAAAAATATTTCCAATCCTTTCTGACTTTGTTGTACATGATTGGAGAATTAATCAACAATAAAAGGATAAAGGATAAAGCTCTCGGTGTTGACCAATCCTTGAGGGATGCACCATGCATTCGACTTCATTAAGCATCTTTGGACTTGAATGAATGCATATTTGCCCTTTATAATGACTCGCGGTGACTTACCGATGTATCGAGCCAGTGCTACTATCCTCCCAGACAAGTTTGGTAGCAATTTGCAGCCAACCCCGGAGGGAAGGAAGCCTTGGTGGGCAACAGGAGTGGAGATCGATTCCACATGTGTGTTGCAGGGTGCTTCCAACTACTGCACCACATGCACCACAAATCAACAGTAGTTAAATAAAATTCGTTTTGAAAGTTTCAAGTGTTTCCTTCTTCATACTCAGTTCCGTATTTGCCACGCTGTTTGTACCTGATGTCACGTATAAAGTAGCAATTCACTAATTTGTAAGGTGGATTTGTTCTTCAAACAAAATACCCAGAAACGTAAATCAGTGCTTACTTACACTGTGCTTAGTCATTCAAAAACACGTTTTACGTAGATGAGTACGTGAAATCCGTACCTTAGAGTGACTTTATCACCACGCTGTAACGATGGCAGCTTGAGCTCTTCATCGACATTAAGCCAAGGCATCACTTCGGTAAATCCGGGATCCTTGACAAATCTACCAGTTAAGCTGAACCTCTCATCACCGCAAGAAATCCTGAAGTTCAGGGTTGTAACAAGCTTTCTCTGCGTATATGCAAATATCCGTGTTTCGGAAAGATAGACTATATCTAATAGCGAACGTATTAAAAACACTAAAGAATTCTTCCTGATATTGATACCTATAAAAGAAAGTCTGAATTAACAAGTACTTACATAATAGTGGTAATGTCGAAAATACATGAACCCATCAATGTAGCAATAAAGTGCTGCACGATGTAGTCATAAATGCGAGCCATGTCTGGAATTCCATTCAGATTCAAAAAGCGCGAAAGCACAATTTTTTCTGCTCCGTAAAATTAAAACATCTTCGGTTTAGAGCAAAAAAAACATTTTCGACTATAGCTTCAGCTTAATTGTGTTCAATACCGAGTTGTGCACCGCCTATCATTCCCGTTGACGGGAGATTTATGATAACACTGTTAGGGTAAAAAAATTGGTTAAGATAAAGGAAAAGTAAAAAACTCGATAAGGGTAGAGGACCGCACATGAACCTAAGAAGGGGGTTGAAGCCCACCTCAGGTTGCGAGTTTTCTTTACATCCCATCATCCTTGTGGTTCTGTTTCACCTTACACTCTGCCATGAAAAAACAACAGGCAGTAAATGCAAGTTAAAATATTTTTTTTGTCAAAGACAGGATTCTTCAAGGTTCTAATTCAACTGATAGACATAGCTACATATAGCTGTTTAAAGTTGAAAGGCGCAATCATTTCTGGTCATTGCAAATCAACACATGTTGCTTTTTAGGGTAAGAGATAATTAACCAAAGTCCGCGTGGTAGAAAAACAAGCAGTCAACGAACAATTATAACCAGATAAAACAAAATGAAAGACAAATGAATCACCTCCTGACAACTGTCCATTATTTGGTTTCATTGGTGTAATCGGAGGGTGATCGCCCTTGTCTTCTCCGCCGCGGGGTTTTTGAATACCATAACTCAGAACCTGTATTATAGTATTTAGCACTGGTTTTTTAAGTGGGGTGATGCAGTACTCAACCATATGCGACTCTAAGCGGCTGTTCTTCCTTAGTGAAAGGCAGATAAAAAACGATGGGTTTCTCGAGAATCCAGTGATCGTGTAATTATTGTTCAGATTTTCATCTTTCTGTTTACGTTGTTGAAGCGTTTGACCCAGTAAATTACACAGTAGTGTACGCTTCCAGGCTCTGAAAAAGCCGATACTGCCGAAACGTCAGCTACCGTTGTGTTGTACGTGTTATGTTTGTGAGGAAGTAAACGTGTGCTGCATAACAACCTCGTGATTGCTGTAAAAAGA